AAAATGGCCAGTGTGCAATTTTCTGTAGGAATCCTGCCAGCCAGGCCAGGATTCCACAGGCCGAGGGGAACGTGCTGGGCACACACTGGTGCCCCTCTGAAGAGGAGCAGCACTGGCTGCAGCATACATACTATCCAGCTGGACGTGCTGCCAAATCTGCAGACCACACGTCTATTCCATTCTATACTTTGCTCAGAGTCATTGCCTTGGTCGCCGAGCACCTTCCAGTAGAGCATTAAGCAACACAACCAACACCTATCCTTGGTGACATGGTGCACTAGTAAGTGCACCAGATAACCATGTCTCCTACTATTTCCTTCAAAGAGATTCTGCCCTGCTGGTTTTTGGGGGCGGGGGGATTCCATAGGCCCTCATCACACCCACTCATTTCTTGGACACAATGCAGGCCCTATCTAGATTGTTACTGTTTTATTTGCATTCACATAACCTCAGCACAAGGACTATCTTCTTGTATTTTTGCATTCTGGATTTCCCTTCACTAAACTCCAATGAGTGTCCTGAGCATAGTGCAGCATGTGTTACTCTACCGAGGGCACCTATGATGCTCCCTGTGCTCGGGAAAAGCTTCCCTTCCACAGCAGGACTGAGCACGTGTTTGTAGCTGTGATCTCTGAAGATCCCTATGCAATAACATGGTAGCAGGAATCATTTTCTTAGTAGCACAACAAGGGCACAAAGGAGGAGAGCTGCTGCTTCCAGGCCCTGAACCGCTCCCCTCCTCCTCCTGACGTACACACTCACTCTCCGTCCTAGCGGTAAAATGGAAGAATCAGCAAATGGTTTGTGTTGATCTAATGCAGCAATTAATAACCACAACTCCCATCCCCTCTCACTGTCACCTGCCCCCTTTTTAAACCACTGGCTTTAAACACTGTTATTCTCGCCCTCTGCAGCATATAGTCCTGCGTGTACACACCCCAACTGCTCTAGCTGATGCCCTTGTGCTTAGCACTCATCTTATGGTGATGGGTGATCTAGAAACGACAATTAACAAATCAACTAAAAATGTTCCCTTTCTTTGAGTGACAGAGCCAACAGCCGTGTCAGATCTGCATTGTTAACTCACTGCACTTTTCACCAGTTTCGATTGCCAGGCTGCCTGGGTATTCTGTGTGCATTCCAGCAGGACGTGCTGAGCTTTGCTGGCTATGTCCATGTTTCGGTTGGTGCCCTAAGATCAGTTACTTAACAGAAAGGAAGCTGTTTATACCCAGATAAGTTTATACTTAGCTAAGTTCATGGAGGATGGGTCCATCAATGGCTATGAGCCAGGATGGGCAGGGATGCAAAACCATGCTCTGAAGTGTCCCTAGCCTCTGTTTGCCAGAAGCTGGGAGGGGGCGACAGGGGATGGATCACTTGATGATTCCCTGTTCTGTTCATTCCCTCTGAAGCACCTGGCATTGGCCACTGTTCGAAGACAGGATACTGGGCTAGATGGACCTTTGGTCTGACCCAGTATGGCCATTCTTATGTTCAGTTGGGAGGGAATGAGAACAGAGCAAGAATGTAACAATTCCCCACCATAAGACCCACCAGCACAGCCAGCACTAATTGGCAACCCTGTCGGCAGTGTCAGCAGAGAGGCCAAGAAATGCATGGAAACAGAGAGTGAATGATCACTCTTTACCCATGAGGGAGGACTGTCCAAGGCAGGGTGGAAGCAAGTTGGCAGGAGGCAGTGTAAGAGAGTTTGCAACACTGCTGCTGCCTTCGCTTGCCAGGACTGTTTCTCTGGCACTTCTCACCTGCACTAAAATCATTTTTAAAACGTTACCATTTTTGTCTCTCTCCTTCCATAGCACCCTTCCTTCCCAGGATCTTATGAACATAAGACTGGCCATACTGGGTCAGACCAATGGTCCATCTAGCCCTCTCCCACAGTGCAGCAATGTAAGGGCTAGCCACAATCGACCCTTGGGTCATTTCAAACCAGTTTTGCTTTGAAAGGAATTTCTGTGACCTTCTTCTGTTTGTATTTTGAAACTCACCTGAGAGCTAATAGGTAACTAGCGAGCAACTTCTTAGGCTGATGGATAAACCTCAAAAATCAGTAATGGGATACAAGCTCATAAGATTTTAGATGAGTGTTATTGCTGCTGAAAAAGAACAAAGCCAGTACATTGATCAGTGCTGACACTTAAAACTAAAATAGTGGCATTGCAACAGCAATCTACCTGATCCTTGTCTTGTAGCCTTATAAACCCCACGAAGTTGTGATATTCCTGTTGCATCCTGCAGCCTAAACTGGGATAGGTTGTGTCAGTGCATGGGTAGATGCGAGAGTCCAAAGAGCTAACGATGTAATAAATCAGGGCTCGGCAACGTTTGGCACGCGGCTCGCCAGGGTAAGCACCCTGGCGGGCCGGGCC